GTTGTGGGCTTGCTCGCACCTCATCACGGGTCGGCCCAGCGTTGCACTGCTGCAGGGATCGGCCCACCCCTTGAGGGGGGAACAAGAATGTGGATAAAATCTTAGAAGAGATGTTACTGTTTTACTTTGCGAAAGAGTGGAGCAAGGTGTTGTGGAGGAGTCACGATATTGTCGTGCTTAAGAGAGTCACTAAGGATGATTCTGCTAAATTGCTTGTGTGTTAAATTCCTACAAATATACCTTATGTCTATCTCCTTTTTCCGAACTTTTCATATAGTAAAGAGTCCACGAATATTTGAGCCCAGTAGTTGTCTAATTCTTTAGAATTTATGGCGGAAGCAAAAGTATAAATACTAAAGCATATGAAATAGTTCGGTAGTTTGAAAAGACATCAACTTTGTCAATTTCATATACTCGAAAAAACAATTTTGCTGGGGTAGTTCTTTCATTCTGACAAATATATTAAATTTCTAACTTGTTTCACTGATTATATAGTCACGCGGAAGTTCAGAATGACGAAAGTGCCTTGTGAAAAAATCGCATAAAAATTTTGCAGTTGTCCATTAGCGCTTTTCGCTGTATCACCACTCTGTAGTCATATATAAAGCATTTAACCTGTCTACCTTAAAATACGAGAAAGTCATGATTTCATTCCGTAATTTAAGATAGACGTCTACTAATCAAATAAAACCCGATGTCTTGAGAATTTTAGGGATTTATCACTTTTGATGTAGTGACTATGCATTCGAGAGAGTGGACAAAAAATCGGAAAAAACACCCTTTTAGCCGACTCTTTTTGATTTTGGTTTGAAATTGAAAATTCATAAGCAATTCACTTTAAACTAGCTGATCAAGAAGTCGGTCAATTTCTTCATGCAACAAAAGTTGAGTTTTCTATCCCACAGTTGCTTGGTTAGAAAGAGCATTCTATGGAGAACCTGACAGCATGATTTGTATATGAAAATGAACGCTTTTGAATGGTTTTACATTCGATTCATTAAATAATGCAGTTCATAGTTCTTTTAATCCAAGACAGAAATTGCGCTGAATCTGAAATACTTACAGATAAAGCACCTTTGCTTACACGAAGATGATGTCTATAATGAATTTTGCCAAAAAATGAACATCGGATTAGAAATAGGAGCTAGGAGGGGAATGTCTGCTTAATCCTTTAACTACATCTCTAATTTATC